CGACGCCTTCTATTACTTTTCGGTAGCGTCGAGCAGAACCCTCTCACCAACCTCTTTCTACTGGAATGTATAATCCATAATAGCCCTTACCCGGATACTATTTTACGTTTCCAATGACGTCTAAAGGAAAAAATCATTGAACAAACTGAGCTAACTGCATTTCGATCGATTTTTACTTCAACTTAACATTCTTCTTCGCTCACCGTGTTGCTTCTTTGCCTTAAATGGCAATACATGCCGTCGTCTCCTTTATGAGCATGGAGGAGTTTCAGATTCTTCTTCTCAGCCTCCTGAAAAGATTTCGAAGATTAACTTCATAGTATTGAGTGCTAGTGAAAAGGCGATTATGCTCTTCAAACTGACCACATCCGATGGGTCAGTGACTGGATTGTTGCTTTTGCCGACATTGAAACTAAAATGTGCGGTTGGCTTTCCGTCTTTCGGAAAGACACATTGAGTCACCGGCTCGTTACCCTTCAAATCGTTACTGTAGAATAGAATTAGTGGTTACGCGAATTGCACTGCAGGCTGGTTCAGAAGCATGGTGAGCCCTACGCAACTTCTGATTGGTTGGTCTTCAGCTACGCCACAACTCAACCAATCAGAAGTGCAAGGGGCTCGTCAGCTACGACTTTCCCAACTTACAGCGGGTCTAGGACATCTAGACCCACAAAAATCAAATACGGGGCTAATAAATAGCCTACCATCTCGTCGTCATCCGAAAATCCTAGAGCAATGTAGTTGTCATTTGGCTCATTATTCGTGCTAGAAAGTCAAAACGTTAAGACCGCATTCATGGAAAACATGAAGAGCTATATTTTTTCATTAATACTCTTTTAAAGGCACAGTTAACGATAATTTCGAGGTACCGTTTTTATTCGAAAAGCGGAACTAGAGATTGGGAATAGATCATCGGCAGTGAAGAAAGCGAGAGAATTTGCGGGTTTCAAGAAAAATATAGCTACTAGGTAGGGGGATAGACGTTGGACGATTGCCATGACGGAAATAACATGGAAGGGGTATTTGGACGAGATTTCAATCACTACAATTGCACAAAGAGCTGACTACATCATGCCAGAACTGTACAGAACTGTCTTTCACTGTCGCTATGAGTCATGACAAGTTGTTTGAACTTCCTACATGTGTTCCCTTGTGATCGGTACAGCCTCTACGATGCCGGTGAAACTCGTCCGAAGATACACACAGCCCAATCTTTGAGCTTTCAGAACGCCTTAACTGGGTCGACCTAACAGTGCCAGATAGAGAGGCCATATACGCGACGATCTCAAATTCCCTGTTGGGGAGTATAAGAAACCATTTTTATCATGAACTGCGCCTTTAAGTGAGAGTTCGAAATTCATGAATTCATAATCGGATCAATTAGGTTTATAGTAATGTCCTATTCTTCCAATCAAAAAGGTAATGAGCAGTATTTACTAGAAAAAAGTGAACAATGGTAGAACTTCTGCAATGTACAATGACCAAAGGAGATTGATATATTAAAGAAGGCTAACAGAAAACTCACGAATAAATCATCAAATCAACCCATCCGTCATCATCAGCACTGTAGGAAAGCATATGATGACATTCGGATTTCTCCTGTAATTCAGAGAGGACAACCGTAACCATCAAATGCTCTCCAAAAGAATTTTCCTTGCTTTGGCCGAATACTTCCTGATTTTACTTCGATACTTTGACGTAGCAACTATTGGGCTACCTTTGCTGCTACATGGTACGCCAGCCAAAAGTCAGCTCGATTCTCGTTAACCAGTGGCTTTTTCTCTCGNCTCGAGCCATCCTAACTCCTTTTGCTCAAGTTTCAGATACCATTCTAGAAGTCGTCTGATATTTTTTTACTTTTGCGAGTCTCCCTCTTCCCTCTCCTTCCTCCCACCCTGACCAATATCACTACCAAGCTTTTACGCTATTCTTTCAACTTGAAGAATGCATTAAGTGGCCCTGGCTAGATTGAACGCCGACAAGAAGGAATGAAGGGGGCTGAATGAACCACACCTACTCCGACAACTTTGGTAGGCTAGCGCAAACTAGTTCCCTGTAAGCACTGCCCTACCTTCGTCTCAATGGATCGAATTAGTAACGCTTCTGAAGATAGACTTAAATTGGGGTTTGCCAGAGCACGAAACGAGACAAGAGGCAGTATGCTCTACTTTGTAACTCTCTGAGGCCGTATTGAATAGGTGAAAGGAACGAACCTGATGACATCCTGTCGGTGAAAANATCGAATTAGTAACGCTTCTCAAGATAGACTCAAATTGGGGTTTGCAAGAGCACGAAACGAGACAAGTGGCAGCACGGTCTACTTTGTAACTCTCTGAGGCCGTATTGAATAGGTGAAAGGAACGAACCTGATGACATCCTGTCGGTGAAAAAATGCATTTCTTAGTTTTATCGCATTCAGAGGCATCAAAATGACCTTCCACAAGCTGAAAACTTCATATTAGATCCGGAAAACATCTAAATTTTTGAAATCGTTCCAAAAGAATCTATGGGAGTTCTCGTTGCTCAACTGCTCCATACAAAGTGATTTCCAACGGAAATCAGGAAGAAAGCTCATTTCAAGGTTGTCGTGAGGTTTCTCCCATCGTAATGACCCCAATGTCATTACACTACCGCTCTTGAATTTGTAGATTCTGCTTATTCAAAGTTTGTTCAAACGCACCTGAACAACAAGGAACAAAATAAGGAGCCGCCGCTTCATCCTGAAAATCAAGGATTACTGTAAGTGTTTGATAGCCGGGTTCAACTAGACGACGGCATGACATGTTGGTGGTAAAAACGAAAAAAAAAAGACAAAAAATATAGTACAGTAACTGCAGTAGAAAAATTTCATGAATTTTTTTACATAATTCGACAGTCATCACATCACACATCCTATTGATTCAGGTTTCAGTGAATCCCACGAGAATAAGTACGGAAAACATTCCTTCAACTCGAGGCTTCTGGAAGTTCAACGAAGCCGTGAGCTGATTTTAAAACCACGAGTGATGCTTGAATGGAATCTTTCTCTTGACTGGTATGGGGCCAAGCATTTAATCAAGCTGTTGAATAGGTTCGGGTGGAATTCTGTTTACGGTATTGTGGTGTCGTGGCTTCTCTATCACTCTTTTACAAATTCTTCGCTATTGCACTGACTACTATTGTTGGAGTAGCGACTGGAGGCGCCTGGTCACACCTACGCGAAAGGGGTCCCACCTGAACCAGTCCAGTTCGGTCGTTCATCTGTACATCATTGGTTTTTAGTATTGTATTAGGCATAATAGCCTGAGAAAAAAGGTTGCGAATCACGATAACCAGCCGTTAAAAAACAAAGATCGAATGAGGTAATATGCTACCCATACTCGCATCATTACTCATGTAGCAGCTTGTACCCATGGGTGAATAATTTCATCCAAATTCCCTTCTGGGGTTTCACAATGATTTCACAGTCTGGGAAGAGGAGGAAACAATAAAGATATAAATCGATCGGTCCGCTATTGTACAAATAAGGCGGATATCGAACTTTAGGACAAATTAGAACAACTAAATTCTAAACTCTAGGCTTTATGCTATCTCCAGTTGGGGAGGCTGCTTTAAAAATGCTGAGACTTACTCAAATGCACCCGAAGGTAAGTCATAGGAGGCAGAGGGAGAAATTGAATACCAGTAAACAAACTCGAAGAATAAAGTAGAAAAAGGTGGTTCTGAGAAACAAATAGAGAAAACGCAATTAAAAAAATAGAA